TTCAAGTTGACATTTTTTGTTTCACTCTGAGCAGCACAGGTGGACCTTTTATGTCACGTTGAGCATTGTCACGGAAATAGCGTTGTCCGTTTTCGATAGAAAATAGCTTAGCACTTTATTCAAAACACGAGCAAGACTTTCCAGTGCACAAGTTGACATCAGGAGGGCAAAAAATAGTCACCAGTGTGAAATGCGAGTGACACAAAGTGAAGCGCCCCGAGCTTCTTCGTCATAAAAATTAATGGAAAAAAATAAAAATAAAGGCAGCGAGTACTTTAAAAACATACAAACAAAACAAAATGTGTCAAAATAAAAACAAAATTTGGAAAAAGGTTGACGGTGACTTCAACTTCCGACAAGCTCTCGGTGGTCATGTGACAGCAAAGATGCCAAGAAGGAAGTGGAGCCGGAAGTGTTGCATTCAAGGCACAAAGTCTCATCGCTCAGCAGGAAATGTCGGGACGGCAATCGGAAAGTGGAGCAGCAGGCCTTGTACGCAAAGGAGGAAGTCATGTGCTTGAAGAAGACTTTTTGGGCAGCAAATGTTGTACACCGGGGCGGGCAGGAAGTGGAGCAGGAAGCTCTGGCCACCAAGCAGGAAGTGTTGTCGGACAAGCGGCAAAAGGTGGACGCCAAGCAGGAAGCGGTGCAATCGAGGCGGGAAAGGGTCACCCGCCAACAGGAAGTGTTGTCTCGGCGAAACCTGAAGTCTCGCCGCCCTTGGTTTCTCCCTCCGTTTTCGCGGCCATCGGCGCGGCGCCTGCGCGTGTTGTTAGGACGTGCTCTCGCCCCTGACGCCGCGTTTGGGGACGTAGTCCCAGCTGTCGCGCTTCAACTTCTCCTCCTCATCCTTGTTCTTCTGCGAGGCCCGCTTGAAGAAACCCGCCTGCGCCGCCACGCGACGGGTCAGGATGATTGCGGAAGATTTTGGGGCGCCCGTCCTTCCAAAAGGAGGCTTACCTTCCACAAGCACCAGATGAGCGCCGCCAGGATCGTCAGACCCACAAGCAAACCGACCACGATGATGAGCACCTTGATCGCCGACGACGGTTTTCGGCTGAAGTGCGCCTCCACCACCACCTGCACGCACGCACGCACGCACGGCCGGATGCGCAAAGATGTCCGCCATCGTGGTCGTGTCAGCGTGCGAGGGATCGGTCGCCTACCTGCGCGGCGGGGGTTTGCTCCCGCTCCAGGACGGTGTGTTGGTCATTCTTGGGCGATGACATCATCGCCCTGCTCTCCAGCTTGACCACGCCGTGGCGACCCTGAAACGAACGCAGCGGCTTTGCCACCCGGATGGACGCTCGCGTGTTCTCGGACAGACTGCGTGAACAACGTGCGTTCTTGCCCCGCCGTTTTGTTTTGACACGCAGTCCCCCCGTGCGCCGGCCACAGACGTGCGAGGGCGATCGTTTTGACATTTCACTGCCTGTGAGATGAATGCTAATGCTAGCAGTAGCGAACAGGCTACTCGTTGAAACTCACGGGCGCTTGCAGCAGGACGTCCGGGTTCAGTCGCACTTCCAGCCGAATGGTCGCGTCTCGACCGGCCTCGACGGTGCCCAGGCGACACAGCAGACGCTCGCACAGCTGGTCGCCGCGCCCACAGAACTGCGCGTGCGCCCACACAAAACACAAACACGCGCGCATCTCATTAGCCATGCTGGCAGCTCACGTCACTTGTCCTTCCGTTGCAACTCGGTTATCTGAAGAGGTAAGCTAGGCGGGCTCCAGTTGAAAGACTTTGGCGTGACAATTCAGATGAGGAAAGATGATACAAGGACAGCAGGGTTGAAAACGTCAAAAGTGGCGGAGAAATCTGATGCTAGCTTTCAACGTTAGCTTCCGCTGGCACTTTCTCATGCTCGCTTTTGACGCTCGCTCCCGAGGTTAGTCCGTAATCCGTCCCGAATTCGAGTTGTCTGCAACAGGTGAAAAGAAGTCGGTGAGGAGCGGCACGCGGGCGTACGGCGGCGGCATTTACCATGTTGCGCGTGGAGGTGGACGAGAAGAAGAAGACGATTTGTTTCAAGAGGGACGCCCGCGGGACATCGCAGCCGTCGATGACGGGGACGGTCGCGTCGCTGACAAAGCAGCCGCCTTGTGACGTCTGCCGACACGATGACATCGTTCCCAACTGCGCGAAGGCTCATGACAACGCGGGCTAACGGCGCTCTACCTGCCAGTCCGCCACCCGCAGCAACCGGTGCGGGTACGGCGTCAGCAGCTTCGGGAGCGTCACCTCCACCAGCGTGTCCACCGACCTGCTCGGACCCGAATTCAACACCTGCACGCACAACGGATGAATGTGAGCGAACGGCCGAGAGGGTCAACGTTATCTTGTTGGCGTCGTGAAAGATTTGCGAGCCCGGATGAACGCGGAGGTGTCCCTTGGACGCCAGTTTGAGAGGAAGCAAGCGTTAACGGGTGAGGCGCATGAATCGGCGCGCCGTTTGATGGCGCGAGAAACCACAGTCAAGAAGAATGAGTGAGACGACCTCCACCAAGGAATGAAGCGTGACCTTGTACGTGTAGTTGAAGCTTTGCGAGTAGCATTGGACCGCCGCGGCGTCGTCTCCAAACACAAACGACGTCGGAGTCACAAAACTGGTCAAAACAAACGAATGGCAAACGTCATTCGTTCGGCTGTTGATGCCCCGCCCCCCCCAGCCCCCCAATCGATTATTTCTTGCATTGATTGTTATCACAAGATATTTCATACGATCCAAGTGAGCATCAGTGAACGAATGAAGGGTTACCCGTGGATGTTGACGTCGACGCCGTACTTGAGAGGAAGCGACAAGGCGACGGCGTTGTCGTGGAGATACTCGGAGCTTTCCAGGTTCTCACTGAGGACGCGGCACGAACTCGTGTCATCTTCCGTTGCGTTGCGGATACCCCCCCCCCAAAAAAAAGAAATGCTTTCCTCACCTGCTGGCGTGGGCGTGAACCACCAGGTGGCCCGGTGTCGCGTTGCGGTTGACGTCCAACAGGAAGCTGACGTTCACCTGCCACAAAAACCAAAAATTGCACGTCTCTTGCGCTCACTCGGCTCTTTGGGCTTTCACAACTGGACGTTGGGGCTGACCAAGGTTATTCGACTTTGTGAAAAAGAACATCAGAACGAAGAGCGATGTCACTTTTTTGCGTGAAACTCCATCCGGCACTGATAAAACGACCAACAGTGATCACATTTCTTGTCCTGCAAGAGCTTTGCGAGTCCCTTTCAAATGGAATGACGGTTCTGCTGTCGCCGGTTGGCACAAGCGCAGTCCTTGGTGAGCCCCCCACCCCCACCCACCCCTAATGCACAATCTGAACTGAAAATGAAGCATGCAACCAAGTCCCAAATGATTCTAACCCAGTCGCCTGAACGTGCAAGTGCAAAAAAAAAAAAGAAAAAATGAGAGGAGATGACTCGTTTCATGATGTCATACGCGTCGTATTTCAAAGCGTTACCAGGGAGCGAGATGCCAGGATGAGGCTGGAGAAGCTGCAGGCGACTCCGACCGTGATGCGGTTGGCTTCCTCCGCGACATCGCAACTCACCACCTTGTCCTCCTGCACGCGCACACACACCACAAGGGCCGGCGTCAAATGGACG